CTTTCATGCATGACTTTTAGAGCCTCTTCAAAGTTCCAAATGTTGTTTTACATGATTCCTTGAAGCTTAGAAACAAATTCAAAGTCATTCATCCTTTGTTGTTTGTTGAAACACAAAATCAATAAACAATCATCTCAATCTCATATTTGTTGATGCACAAAGTCAACAATCATTCATTTATCCCCTTCATGCATGATGATCAAAGTTTCCCAAAATATTAAGAATATCATTGTACGAAGGTTTTGGAGCTTACAGCTAAATCCTAAATTTCCCCCTTATTTGTTGAGACACAAAATCAACAAATGAATATTCCTCCTCTCTTCTGCATGATATTCAGAGCTTCACCTAAGCTCCAAGAAATATCATTACACAAACGTTGAAACTTATAAGAAAATTTTAAGTTCTCTCACATGTCTTGTTGGAACACAAAAACAACAAATATCCTCCTCATGCATGTTGTTTTGAAGCATCTAATAAGCTTCAAATACATCATTGCATGAATCATTTGAACTTGGAACCAAATTTCAAGTTTCTTTTGCCTTATTCATTGGAGCATAAATCCAATGAATAATCCTTCCAAAACATAGGATTCAAACTATAATTACCTCCATTCACTTAGCTGATGGACACACCCTCTTTGAACACCAAATGTTTAAAGAGCATCTTCAATTCGCAACCCATAAGTTGTGTCCTCTTCTCCCACCTTCTACAAACCAAAATTGTAGAACATCTTCTCATCCACTCAACCCAAATTGGATGAATGAGTAGCCTTTCTTTGAACTTCAAATACTCAAAGAAACTCCTCCAACTTGCAACCCTTAAAAGTTGTATGTTTTTCTCTCATTCCTCTACATAACAAAATTGTAGAGATATCCCTCTTTCTAGAACCCAAAAGTTATAGGAAATCCCTTCATCCTCCTAGCCTATATTGGGTAAATGAGAATCTCTCTTTGAATATATCAAAAATTCAAGGAAAATCCCTTGTGATTTGTAATCTACATTAACATCTCACCCTTCCACATCTACTTAATCCAAAGTAGATGATCGTGCATCATTAAATGAAAAATTCAATGAATGCATCTTGACTTGTAGTTCCAAAACTATGGGTAATTTATCCTTTTAGGACTCCAAAAGCTCTGAAAGATTTACAACCTTAGCCTAAAAAAAGCTATGGGTTTTCTCTCCTTCTCCTCCAACCTATCAGTTGTAGAAGATTTCCCCTATTCTTAGCTCCAAAGCTAAGGAGAAATCTCCAACATTTGGCATAGAAGCTATATGTTGGGCATCTTCTCTCTTTTTCTTTAGCTTTGAAGATAAAAGTAACACCCATTTCCTTAGCCTCAAAGCTAGAGGTTTCATCTAATTTCCTCCAACCTCTAAATTGTAGTAAATTTTCCTCTTCTTAGCTCTAAAGCTAAAGGAGAATCCTCCAAATCTAGCCTAAAAACTACATATTGGACATCTTTCTTAGATCAAAACTCTATTCTTTTATTTAGCATTTAATCCTCATCTCATGACATTTAAAATGCAACACCTTTAGATGTCCCTTAAGAGTATTTTATTTGTTAAAATTCATTCTACTCTATTTGGCGAATTTCAGAAAGACCTAACTATAACCCTTAGGCATGTCTACGTTTTCCTATTAGGTAGACGCTTCTCTCTTATACAAATACTAAGAGAACTCTTAAGTCCTTAAAAATCACCTAATTTCCTTTGATACAACAACGATCAATTATTCCACCCCAAAAGGTGGAATAGTTGCATCATTGTATCTTAGGACTCATAAGTAATAAGTTTGCCTAAAAGCAAGCAGTGGTTTCCTTAAGGATTCTTCATAACCCTCCTAAATATGAAGCATTTAAAAACCAAATAAAATCTTTAAGTCACAAGCAACTTAGAGTGAAACGATCATTGGATAAAGATTAAACATCTTCATTCCAAAATAAAATAAAAAAATCGTTTCATAGTGTAACATGCCACACAACCACACACACTTAGATGCACAACCCCCTAGGCATATTAGGATTAGGATTTTTTTTTTTTTTTGCTCATGTGTTTGATGCTTTGCTGTGATTGCATTTGAATTGTCTGCATCGTGGACACATGACCTTAAGTGAATAGTGTAGAAATATATACATGTTTTTTTTTCAGATGGCCATGTCCAAAAGGGGGACACAATAAATCATAAATAAAAATGCTTGTATAATAGGTGCTGCTTAAATCTCCTACGAGGTGTGGCTAATAGGTTAAAAACAGGTGTTTGACACTTTAAGTGCTAAGTAAATTATGGATGTGACATGTTTATTATATAAACTGCTTTCTAACCAACTGTTTTGCAGCTTTGAGTCTTTTCATTTTCTAAATGTATTTGATTAGATTTTAAGTTGTATGTTAAACTTGTCGGGTTCAATTAAAGGAGGTGGGTCAATAGGATGTACCCATTGAAGGTAAAACCCAAGATCCATTCAAAAGCCAAAGTTTGAAGGCCCCCACATGTAAGAGTTTGTAAATAAATATTTGACTAGGTTGCATAATGACAAACAACTCAGTTGTCAAATTTGATTGTAATAACTTGAACTCTTTAATTTATATTCATTTTGTTTTATTTATATATAAGCATGTTTTGATATGTTTACCTGATTATGAATAGAAAATTCATGTTTTTTAGGTTTCTTCTTTGCTTTTGCATGGGGGTGGCTAGGACATGTTAATGCGGAAGGCTTTTAGGACAAAACTAATTTTTCTACGCATTAAAATGCTAAGTAATCTAAAATTAATCTAGGCTTCATAATTTTTAATTAAAAAAAAATGCATAACTCCCTTCAAGGAACCAAGTTTTCCAATATTTAAATTGATCATGCATAGTCTAATAAGTCTCATGTAAAGAAGACTTCACTTAAGGATCGGATAACAAAAAAAATCCGCATCTGTGTGAGTCAGCATTCTGCATACCATACATGGTCAGGCATCTTGGCCTAAAAGTCAAGTTGTAAGCTCTACTTTCTAAATAAAAATAATCTCCCTACTCTTTGAAAGCATTGAGACCGGATGTCATGGTTTTAAAAAAGCACCTATATGGGTTAGCTGATAAACATTTTCAGGTAGGGCAATAAATCTAGAGGTCAGGCTTGTTATATGTCAAGTGAGGTGTAATTTGTAAGCCTCTTGCACTTCATTAGACTTAGTTCGAAGCACTATCTCTTTGTAGACCTCACTTTAGTTCTAGTGTCCGAGGTAGTGGTTGATTTCAATCACCTCATAAGCCCTCGCCTTCCAGGCATTTCCTCCAACATGTGTGGTTGGATTATAAGCCCCAACATTCTAAATTAAAATTAACTTAAATAAAAAATATATTATAAAATGCAAAGCTCAACATATGATAATTTTAATTACCTCTAAGTTCCCCTCATAATCAAGTACTCCTACTCTTCCTCCCATTGGCTCTCATTCTAAAAAATCTAATCAGAATTGATCCCTCTTTCTTTGAAATTATTAAAGACCAAAATTCTTTAACAAGAATTTCATGGATTTTAAAATCAAAACTTTAAACAATTTTTTGATGATTTTCAAAACAAAGGAAATCTTCAATTTAATCAAGAGTTTTCTCAAGTATCAAATGCTTGTGATGTAATTAATCATAGAAGCAAACCCTTGTGGGGCATCCGTACCCCATAATAAAATAAATCTCATTCAACCAAATATTGAATGGGAAAAAATCTCTGTTAAAAATTAAAATTGAAAATTTTGTTATTGAGTCCATAAGGTAATAATATTTATCATACGAAAAAATATATCATCTTTCTTATGTCGTGCTCGATCACAAAATATGCAATCTATTGAGGATGACAAAATTCTCCAACAATAATGTATTTTCTCACTGCTCTCATCGCAAGCAAAACATTCATCCTCATTAGTATTGTTGTGAAATATTTGCATATCCCTTCATAATCGATCCAACCTAAGAAACGCCTTTTAGCGCTTCCTCATTATATGTTACTATTTTTTCAGGATGCCTATGATCAATTGCTTTTATAATCTTAGACATCTCTTTAATAATTTCATATTGTCCCTTTCTGTGGATATGGTGCAACCATCTCCATTGATATGGCTTGAAGTTTAGATTCAACTGCTTCTTGCCATATAACAAGTAACAACAAACTTTTTTCATGTCTTCACATGTCATCTCTAACTCCTATAATTATCATTGTTAATTCCCTCTATCATGTCTCTAGAAGTCATTATTCATCCTTCCAAATCTCCCACTCTCTCTCTCTCTTTCTCTCTCTCTAAATTTTTATGTATCTCACAGCAATCTATTAAACTGTCTTCTATGTTGTCTAACTAAAACTCATGCTTTTTAACCTTTTACACCTCTTATTAAAATTTTCAAAATCTCAAATCAAAGAAGATGCTTGGTAGAGATGTTTTAAGCTAGCAGAATCAGCTACTTTGCAACAAATGTTCCATTAGCCCTCTCATTCACTATTTCTTCAAGTTAAGCAAGACTATTGTTTATTCATTTTCTTACCAAAACCCGTAAAGCCTTATAACCTTTTACCCCTTTCATTGCATTTTTCATACATCAACTCAAGGAAGATGATTAGTGGAGTGTTGAAGCTGGCGGGATCCACTACATGACAACCACTATTGCGTTACACCCTTTCTTCCATCATATTAATGGCATAGTTAATAAATGCAGGTGCTTCCTCTCATATTATAGGTAGACACAAAAGTACTCATTGGAAAATTCAGAAGGCATTTGAATCATGAATATTAATCATGAAATATGATTTGTGTTTAACATTATTTGTTTCATATTTGGTAGAATAACATAATTAATAATCTACTTATATGATACGTCTATTTCTACTCCATAACAATTCCATAATAGCACCCAATTTGCATAATAACAAGCTCAGCTAGCATTTATATAATAGAATGCTGGAATTTCTACAAAAACCGAAAAAAGGCCAAATTAAAAGTAATTTATGAAATCTCACCCCATATTCAGAAATAGGAATCCCATGTTGAGCACGATGCATGTGAGCCTGCCTCCGCATTAGCCACTGAAATAAGGTTAAAAAAACAAAAAAAAGGCTCATGAAATCATTGTCGTCAAGCCAATAATATCCTAGAAAAAAAATAAATATTGCTAAAAATATCAAGCACACAAACCAAAGGAAATAATTCAATTGTTTTAATATGCAAACATTGAGTTCAATTGTTTTAAGAGAAAAAACATAAGGATACATTAAGGAATTTTTCCAAGTGATTTTTTGTTAGACCGGTCCAGGCGGGACCGGTTCACGAGCGAACATCGCGAAACGGCGGAGATTGCTTCCGCCTGGGCGGAAGCCGCGCGTGACGCACGCCTTGCGGAACGGTTTTGGGAAGGAAAATTTAGGAAGTTTAGGAGGCAAATTGATTGCAGGGATTGTTTAGGGAATTCCTTTTGAATTGTATGCATTAAATAGTAGATTTTCCTAGGGTTTGATCATCTTGAATTTGGCTGAAATTTGAGATCTCGTAGATTTAGGATTTCTTTGGGCTCTAGCGGCGTCTAGAGATTTGGGAGAGATCGATCCTCCTCTCGAATTGAGGATCAATTGTATCTTGCTCTTTTATTCATGAATACAAGTCTTTTCTTGAGTTTTCTCTCGTATTTTCCCGGACAAGTGCTGTTTTCCTGCTGTAAACAGCAGAAATCTGCTGTTTTCCTGCTGTGGACAGCCATTTGGCTGCTGTTGGTTCGCCGATTTTGGATAGGTTGCTTGTGAATACAAGCACTTCCTATCATTTTTCTCTTATATGGCAATAGTTCTTAGCTTGTGGTCTCAAGTAAAATTCATGAGTTGTTTCTTTTAATCTCATTGAATCATTGCCTTTTTTTTTCAATTTCAACAACGTTGGAATTGATTCTTCAATTGCGAGACAGCTTACCATTATTTGTAATGACAAGTTCAATCTTTTGTGCCTTTGTTTTAATAAAAATTTATTTTAATGCCTTACGAAAACAATTAATTCCTATATGATGCAAATTTATTCAAGGATGTTACTCAATCTTACTAGCATGCAATCCCAAGAGACAAAAACTTGAAATGCTAAAAAAATGCTCAAATAGATCAATAAGACTACAAAAAGATCAACAATGTGTCTCTTCACTTTTCATTTATAGTGATAAGAGGGTGGGTCATAGGAAAGGCTACACCAATAAGAATAAAAATATATAATTCTAAATATAATCTAGTATAGATTGTTCATGACATGTGTCACGAACTGATAGGTACTTTGTGTGATTCTTCTCTTCAAGCTCAGCTATTGGTTGCAGGGCAAACTCTTTTGGAAAGGTGTTTATGTGCGAGTGGATGAAAGCAACACCTCCAAGTAGACCATGTTGGATGAACCTACGGCACCGAGTGTTGTTGTCACCTTAGCAACCACTCAGACATAGTCCTTAAGCCGTTTTAAGTGTGAGGGGCGAGTCATCTTAAGCTACAATGATTATAAGCATATGGTTGACCGAGTACATAAAAGCATGCTATTGTTCTTGAAGGCGTGCCTTCCAAATGGTTGGAACAGAGCCCTCCATTAGTAACTTGCTGACTCATGAGTAAGTGTGTTGCTTGAGGGAGGTCATTCCTAAGGAGGCCAATCCTCTAAAGCCTAGAGGGACCTGTACAAATCATTAAAATTTCTACTAAGGGTGGCCTTCTCGAGTCATCTGGCGAGATAAGCCTAAGCCTTCAACTGATGAGTACTTCTGGGAGAGGAGGTGACCACTCATAACCGATTCTTCATAGCTAGGTTCCGTCCAGTTCAAGTTCTTCTGCTAAAACCTGTTAAGCACATATAGAACACCTGAGACGACATGCATGAATATATATTTATTTCCTCAATCCACTTGACTCTTTTAAGGCCAAATTGCAAAAAGTAGAAGTCTCCAATAAAGGAGGATCCCACTTCTATGCAAGATTAAGCAAGCCAAATGACCATATCAATTTTAACCATTGAAAGTAATTCTAGATGAGAATGCAAGGGAAAATGTCTAGTTGGGCCCAACCTAATATGACCACTTTAAAAAGGCCAATTTATTGAAATGGCGCAACATGTGTCTTTGGTTCCTTTGTTATATAAAGAATCAAAAGAAAACGAGAATCTCACCACTCTTTTTCTATACATGTGCAAAAGTTTTCAAGATGTCTAACTACCTCTAGTTGCTGCTAGCAAGCTCTGACCTCCACTAATAGTTTTATACCTATGCCCATAACATGAGATTATTTAACCCAACAAACCAAAACTCTCGACCTAAAATGAAAAAGGGGTTTCTTTTGCTTGCCTCATAAACAGCGAGGCATCCAAACCTTTGAGGTCTCAAGGCTCGCACAGATGAGACATTCTTCCTAATCTCCTTTGAAGAATTGGATAGGGTAGCTGGCATGGGTCTCAATTGGATGAACTAAACCCTTAGGATGAAGCCCTCACTCCCCTCAATCCAAAACCACTAAAATTGCCCAAGTTGGTAGAGTAAAATGGGAGAAATCATTGCTAGTTGGCATTCGGGTTGCTGACCCGCAAATAGGCCTGTGCACCTACTTTTGGTTGCATGCACAAGGCAAAGAATAGAACATTTCCTTAGGAATATTCTATAGGTTTATTACTAAATGCAATGTTTTTTTATGTTTTAGTTTCTTAGTTAAATGAAATGAACTTTTAACCGAAAGTGCATCAAACTATGTAGATTTTAAAAAAAGAAATTGGCATGACATTTTCCTAATTTCTAATTAAAAAAATGTATTTATTCCCTATTTTAATCATTTATTATAATTAATGACATCAAAAAATTACTTAAAATCAAATGACAGGTCAATTAGACCCTAATAAGACTCATTATTTTTTTCAAGGCTAGATAAATTATTTCATTTAAGTTATGATTTTCAAAGAGATTATTTTTACTGTAAAAAAATCTAGTGATTGGAATTTTCATCAAAAATGTCTGAAAAAATTAGAGATTGTTCTATGCACAATTAAAAGCCTCCCTAAATTTTTTTGAGAATTTTAGAGATCATTTGATATGTCTCACTAACGCAAAATATCGATTTAAGTTATTTTTTTGTTTTTCAGGCCTATCTAATAAATCCCAAAAATTCCAAAAAAAATAAAGGGGTGTTCTTTTAAGTTAAGATACTCATTTCTAATTTTTACTGATAATTGGTTTGATCAATTGCAGAATATGTACATTTTTAAAAGGAGAAAATCACTATTCACAAAATAACCATTTTATTCTGATGGACATTTTGTCATGGAATATATCCCAGAAGCATATTCTACTATTTTAAGCAAAAATTAATTTGTTGTGACTAGTTTAAATATTTTCCTATTTTTAATAATTAAAATATTATTTATTTGAATTAATTAAATATACAAAATAGATAAAATACCTTTAAAAAATTAAGAGATAGTTAAGCATGTCATATTATGTCATTGAATGGATCCATATGATTTTTTTCAAATCATTGATGCCAATATCTAAATTTTCAATTTAAAAATCTTAATCTCAAAATTTTAGAAAATAGGTTAAATAAATTTCATAATGTTTTTGACGTTAAACATCGTGGCGGACTTTTGGATTTTTTTCCAATTTGTTTAATGTTTTCATAAATTATTATAGTTTCTATAATAATTACAAAAAAAAATTAAATAATTAGAGAAAATTAAAATACTTAAAAGTTAAAACAGTTCATTTCATATGCATTATCATGTAACCAAAATGTCATAAACATTGTTCAAAGGCATTACATGATGCGCATTTTTTTTTTCAATTAAAAGCCTCTTCTTTAAATTATAAAGATGCAAAATTCAATTAATTTAATTAATTCTAGCATAATTTATGTTTTTCAAAGTCAGCCTTTTGATATATTTAATACTTTTCATAAAATTCAGCTTAATATTGATAATTATGAAAATATTAAATAATTTTTAAAATATCCTTAACATTCTAAAATGTATTTAAATTGATTACAGGAATTTGGATATTAAGTTGACCTATTACAACCATAAGTAGCCCGCTTAGCCTAAGCACATTGATTAGTTCGTCATTGTCGGTAAGCTAATCAATAGAGGACTACATCTTTTAGACTGACTCTCACAACATTCTAGGTTAGTCAGCTCCTTTATATATCCAAATGGCACTAATAGCACAAAACCTATATTAAAACTATTTCTAAGGACCATTCGAGTCTACCCCTATTTTGTAGCATCAGTAAGCATAAGCTTGATTGACATTTAATTTTACTTAATCTAATAGTCTAGTTATACCCCCTTAAATAGAATTTCTCATTAAACATAGCCATACCACATTGGCTGAATTTAACCTCAACAGAATCAAGCATTTTTTATTACATTTTCTACTTCTCTTAATTGCACACTATTAGCTGAGTGTCTTCTTAGACTAGAGATAATATGAGGCTAAATCTACTCATAGTATGGTACATACCTGTTAAGAGCGAATGGCGCACCATGGCGCGAAGGTCTATTTGGAGCCATGGCGCATAGCGCACGGCGCGGCGCGCGCTATTTTGAACATGGCGCAAGCTATATAAAAATTATAAAATAATAAGCATGAATATGAAATATTATTAAAAATGAAAGACAAGCTATCATAATAAAAAAAGACAATCATAACATATATAAGTTCGACTAAGTAACATTCAAATATCTCATAATTCAAATACTACAATCTTTTTTTCTAAAAGATCAAATAAGAATTTAATCTACTCTTCTTGGGAATCATCATCATCAGCAAATGTTAAAAAAGCTTTATTATCTTCTTCAACATTATCTCCTACTTCATAATCCTCTTCATCACCCTTGGTATCGCTACTTCATAATCCTATAAGAACTGAATCTGACATTTTATGATCACCTAAAAGAAAACAAATTTAGATAAAAGAAATATAATATTATCCAAGAAACATAATATGGGGGCTGCCGGGGGTCCAAGGGGGCGCTGCCCCCGCTGCCCCCTGGCAGAACAAAATTTATTTGTAATAGAAATTTTGAAGTTCGT